GTACCCCAAATTATGAAATTTGTGTCGACAATAATATTTCTAAACCTTATTCATTCCGTGAAAGCAATGTGCCTTCTTTGATTGGTCAATTATATGAGAAATTGCACCTGCACACTTGATTGAAAAATTAGCTTTTTTCTTACAAAACCTATTTTTGAATTTGTCTCACATTGGAAAGTTATAAGCTTTTTTTTTAATATATTAATAGGAGCTGATTTACACTCCTTAGAAATAGTAAGGAGAGTATGGGGGTTTGATACCGTGCAACGCATGCGCACATGTGTGCGCGGCGCAATGAGGCACTTTAGAAGCACACTTTGCATGCGAATGGCAGCTTTGGTTTTGGTGCGATGCTGACTGTCGATCAACATTGATGGGATCAACGGTCACAATTTGATCAGGTATGATCAAGAGGCACAATTCAAAGTTAACAGTCATTAACTGTTAACTACTTTTTAAACAGCCACAATGTTTGAAATTGTGACTATTCAAGGTGCCTTCTCTAAACCAGCACCTACTTTTTCTTCATACCTCTTCATAAACTATTTAAGGAATATGAATCAGACTTCAAAAACACACATTTTCGAAATCCACTTTCTCTCTCTCTAAGTCCGGTCTGCTATAGTCTCACAAAAGGTTTCTCCGGAGATTCTTCAACTTTTCTGATTGCAGATTCTCGCCCAAGGCTCTGTTGTATCCTGGGAACGGATTTGCTTGTAACTCAATAGCAAACTCAATGAAACTGAGTGGGGGTAAATAACGTTCTAAAGATAGTGTCTTTAGACGCGCCTCAGAGCTTCTCCTCCAAAGTTACAGTGACCCCATTTTCCAACAAAATCTAACTGGGGTAAACTTTACACCCCAGTTCGATTTTACATGCCTTTGGTAACATGTAATTTTACATCTCTTCTCCTTCTCTCTCAATTGCTCTCTTTCTCTCTCTCTCTCTCCCTCTCTCTCTTCTTCTTCTTCTTCTTCTTCTTCTTCTCTCTTGCTCGCTCTTCTTCATCTCTCTCTTGACGTTCTTCCCCATACCCTAATGCATTTGTCCACTCCGATTGTGTAAGCGGTTCCATCAACAAAAACAACAATGGCGTTTATGGCATCTTTATGCGATTTCACGGAATCCAAGCAACGAACGATGACTTCTTATATTCGTTGCCTCGCCATCTCCAGTGACTTACTCTATGCCGCCTCAGGCAGTGAAATCAATGTCTACAATCTAACAAACTACACGCACATCAATGCATTCAACAGCAATTCCTCCTCGGGTTCCGTTAAGTCTCGCTTTTTCAGAAAGGAAGGTCTTCACTGCTCACCAGAACTCTAAGATCTGAGTCTGGCAGCTAACCCCAACCAAACGACATCAACTCGTGGCAACGCTTCCCACCGTCAAGGACCATGTTCGTTGTTTCGTTCTACCGAAGAACTACTTCTGCGTCAAACGTCACAAGAAACAGCTATGGATTGAACACGTTGATGTTTTCTCTGGCCTCGCCATCAGCAATGGCTTAATCTACTCCGTTTCCTGGGACAAGTGCTTGAAAGTATGGCGGGCATCAGATCTGCGTTGCTTGGAGTCCGTGAAACCCAAGGCAGATCTCCGCTGCAACCAACTGGAGAGGAGAGGTTGTTCATTCTCTCTTTCTCTCTTCTCCTCCTTTTTTTCTTCTTCTTCCCCTGCTTCCCTCCTCCTTTGTAAAAACAAAGTAACCTCGATTTACGTTGATGTAACCAAACAAGACAAGTGTAAATGGGTACAATGGCCAATCCGTATTTTACACTTTCACCGAACCATCATGTCTCAACTTCATCAGTGTAAAATAGCATTTACATACGAAACAAATGCAGCCTAAAGGTTTTTTGCTATAAAAAGCCAACTTTTGTGCATAGGGAAATTTTGTTCTTTTCAGTTTCATTTAAGGATATGAATAAGAAGACCAAACGACCTAAGTTGACCCAAGTTTCAGGGAAAAAATAATAAGATAAAAGGTTCACTGATCCCACAACGAAGTGAGTGCAGTTATTGTAATTTACATCTCCGCTTCACAAGGAGCTGCCCCACAACACCCCACAGCACATCCCATCATGTATTGGGAACATCTCCTGATGATAGTACTAGTCTCGATGATGTCATCATCGGGAAATGTTCCCAATACACAGCGGGGATGTGCTGTGGGGCRGAGATGTGATCTCCAGTTATTGACAGTCCTTATAGAACGGCCGTCCAGAAAAAAAAAAAATCTGACATTATTGACAGCCCTTATAAAACGGCCATCCAGAAAATAAAAATATCTCAGACATTATTGTTCCAACTATTTCAGAGAAAAAAAGTATCTCAGACATTAGTAAATTTGCTTAAGGAAGAGGAAAAAAACAGGAAGCAGGCAAAGGAAAGGCCATCATATCGTTGTTCACGTACAGGTAGACAACCTTAAAAGCATGATTTATTCTTATAAAAGAAGATATTTGAGCTGAAGTGTATAAATTATAAAGCTGCATATCAAGTGGCTCCCCACATGAACATCTCAGCATGCAATGGAATATCTCCCCTAGTTGTCATGCGGAGATGTTCCCAATACACAGTTGGGTTGGAATGTACTGTGGGACACCCATGAGGCACGCTCTATGGAGTGCAGATGCAAGTTCCTTCATCAGTTCTCTCACCTTCCATGTAGTGTTGCAGTGGCAAAGATTTGGAGGAATTGCAGTGCAAATAAATGCATTGAGTAACTAGATCATTAAGGTTGTATTTAGTTGCAATACAAACAAATTTGCACTGATATAAAATTATGTCAGTTGCAAATGATTTGAGTGTAAATTCTGACTTATTTTTGTTTCAATATTTAGATTATTTTGTTTGATTGCAGTATAAATGCAATAAATTAAGACATGAAACAGAATAAAATAAAATTAAACGAGAATTTGCATTTTATTTATTTGCACTCCCATGCATTTGACTGATAGAGGCCTGTTGTAAGTTGTAACTTGTAAGAATCAGTCCAGACTCGACTGCACGGTTGAACCAGTTACCTTGCAGGCGGTTTTCATGGTTTCAAATTTTCAATAAAATAACCACCCAATTAGCTATTTAGTAGACCTGGAAAAAAGTTGATCCAACCCACGAGCCCGACCCAACTGAACCCAACCCAAAAAAACAGGGTTAGGGTCTCATATTTAGCTACCCAAGTGTGAAAATGACCCAACCCGACCCAACCCAAAAAAACTAGGTTGGTTTATTATGGGCCTGCGCGTAGGATCTCGTCACGGGTCGGTCCACGAGGAGAAAGCCCTGCTTTTCCTTGCGCCTTCCCTTGCGTGTAGACCCTATTGTAGAAACGAATGGGTGATTTGTCCAAGAAACCACCCGAACTCTCCAAATAGGTGATTTGTCCAAGAGACCATCCGAACTCTCACTCTTTTCTTGACTGGAAAAACTGAATGCCTTTACTTCAATTCGTAGCTCCTTAAATAGGAGATTACAAGAGGAGACATTCGACTAAGCTAGGAAAATCCAACTTTAAATCAAACTCCTACTTCTAACAGACTTCTAACAACACTTAGTTCTTATCTCTAATAGATAAGAATAGAACTAAATAAGTAAGAACATAACTCATACTAAGAAGATAAGATAAGATGAGGATAAGGGATAAGGTAAGCTAGCGATGAGTTGGCGAGCGGAGCTGATGAGGTAAGATAAGTGTGGACCCACCCTGATGAGCTGTCATGTGGACCCCGCTCTACTGCTGCTGCCGGCGGTCCGCGCGTCTCACAATGCTGCTGCCGTGTGGTGTGTGCTGCTGCCGTGCGGTGCGTGTTACACGCTGCCGAGCGGTGCGTGCAGCGTGCTGCCGGGCGGTGCATGCTACGTGCTGCCAGGCGATGCGTGCTGCGCGCTGCCGGGCGGTGCGTGCTGCTGCGTGGCGTTGCCGGGCGGTGCCTGCTGCTGTGCGGCCTGCTGTGCTTATCTCTATTAGATAAGAACAAAACTAGATAAGTAAGAACAGAACTCCTACTAGGAAGATAAGATGAGGATAAAGGATAAGGTAAGCTGGCGGTGAGTTAGCGAGCGGAGCTAATGTGGTAAGATAAGTGTGGACCCACCCTGATGAGCTGTCTTGTGGGCCCCGCTCTACTGCTGCTGTCGGCGGTGTGCGCGTCTCACAGTGCTGCTGCCGTGTGGTGCGTGCTGTTGCCGTGCGGTGCGTGCTACGCACTGCCGGGCAGTGCGTGTTGCGTGTTGCCAAGTGGTGCGTGTTGCGTGCTGGCGGGCGATGCGTGCTGCTGTGCGGCTCTGCAGAGCGGTGCCTACTGCTGTGCGTGCTGCGTGCTGCCAGGCGGTGCATGCTACGCGCTACCGGGCGGTGCGTCCTGCTGTGCGTGCTGCTGCCTATGACTACGCCGTAGTGCGCAGCCAGTCGATGTGTCCATAACATGGGTTGGGTTGGGTTGGGTCATGGGTCAACCTGCTGACCCGATTGTCAAGTCTAATTGAGATTATTTATGCATTGTTAGAAGTTTTCACTCTTTAATTTTTTCTATTTAGTCTTTAATTTTTATTGTTTACTCTTTAAATTGTTAAATGTTCAAGTTTTTTATTTTATATTTGGAATTTTATGGTTAATTCTTTTAATTTTGATATTTTTCATGTAATTTTTCTTTATTTTTTAAATTTCAATTATTTTTTGGGATGACCCGAATTAACCCATGGGTCAACCCTAACCCGAACATTTAGGGTTAAGGTCTAACATCCGAAATTCAACCTGACCCAAAATCAACCCAAAGTACCTTGACCCAACCTGAATCCGACCCACCCAACCCAATTGCCAAGTCTACTATTTAGTATACTCTTACATTATAGATTGCAGGCGGTTTCTCCCCCTCTTCGATTCGGTATTGCTCTCTTTGTTAATTCAGATTTGACTCCTGTTGTAAACCAAGACATAATGAATTAATGAAAATTGGCCCAAGTTATTTCATAGTTTCGGCTTTGTATACACAATTTCACAAATACAGACTATATATTGGTCTGTATTAATTTGATCCTAGCATATCTTGAGTTTTTAATATCCATGCATTTTCAAGCATATTTCGAGCTTTTAGATATTTGAACCTTGATTAGATGCCAAAGACAAACTGTCATTGATCTGGGTCATCGATATTTATTCAATTCATAGATAGAATTTCAGAAAATTGTGTTACTGCCCAGCAAGAGCACACGAAGCCTAGTTCCAATTTCCAAGAAAGCGTAAAGAAGGGTGTGAAACCAAAAAGCTAAAAACATGGTGTCAGTTTCTCTAAGGGTATAGAAACAGCGTCAGTTTCTATACCTGAAGCATCACTGATCTGTCATGAAGCTTTTAATTTCACTCAACCATTCACTCGGAACGCGTGGGCTCCCTTTATTAAGATACTTCGTGATTCCAATGAAATACGAAGCTGAAGAGTTCCTCCCCATAGGCATTGGATTAGTCATTGGATGCCCAATATAATCACAGAAAGAAAATCGATCGAATGCTATAATATAGATCATAGAACCTAACAAATGCTTTACACTAGCAATACATTTACTAATCTTGCCTTGAAAGAGACGCGGAATTCTAAACTTAACTTGGAGAAAGGAGAATCAGTTATAGAAAGATTTGGGCCTTCTTTTCTTATTCCTAATTCGTTATAAGCACGTCACCACTTAAAACAGAAAGAAAGAAATTATCAAGATGGTATAAATTTCCTATTTTTACGTATACCTACTCCTAAATAAATCTCCAGACTTCCTTAATCGATTGAAGTTTGGAGATAAAAGGAAACCACGGTGATCTTTCGTATCACTCTTCAGGAAGTTGCCGCGACTCGGGAGAACGTGCCATCCCCATGAGCAAACTGCGGGAATCCTCTCAGAGACTTCCTATATTAACCCTTAGGAGTTAGGACCCTCTATTCCGTATTAACCCTTTCCATCGCTTTCACCAACAGTGCGTTCATGGCTACCCCAAGTGATCCCAGTTGCAGTCAAGATAATGTCCATGTTGGTTCCTTCTTCCTAACCATGCCTACCAACCCCACAAAATCTCAACAGAGATGGCGTTTGGCTTTCAAGGCCATCTATATTTCTAGAGTTTTTTTCTCCCTTGTTAATGATGTCTTGGCCAAGAAGAAAGACCAGTTCCTTAATGGAATCCTGCGTTCCCCATCCTATATTGCACTTGATATTCATCCCAAGGATGATGGTGACAATGCCCCTTTTTCTAATTTCGATCACAAAAGCTTCATTGATATGGTAAAGGAAAAGAACTTGGAAAGTCTCCGCGTGTTTGGGGGTGTTGAAGGAGTTGTTGCGGCCTTCAAAACTGATGCCAAGAATGGGATCCGTGGCCATGCTGACGATCTCAACCTCCGACGCCATGTGTTCGGTTCCAATACATATAAGAACCCCCCTGCAATAGGGTTCTTTCACTTTGTGCTAGAAGGATTCAAAGATACCACCATTCTCATACTTTGTGCCTGTGCAACCCTCTCACTTGTGTTTGGTATCCAACAGCATGGGCTCAAAGAAGGGTGGTATGATGGTGGGAGCATATTGCTTGCCGTCTTTCTTGTTATAGTTGTCTCTGCAGTGAGTAACTTCAAGCAATCAAGGCAGTTTGAGAAACTTTCAGACGAGAGCAGCAACATCAATGTGGACGTCATCAGAGATGGGAGGAGGCAACAGATCTCTATCTTTGATATTGTGGTGGGAGATGTTGTTTGTCTGAAGATTGGAGACCAGATTCCAGCAGATGGATTATTCTTAAACGGCCACTCCTTACAAGTGGACGAGTCTAGCATGACCGGGGAAAGCGACCATGTGGATGTTGATGCTAGTCAAAATCCATTCTTATTCTCTGGAGCAAAAGTAACAGATGGTTTTGCTCACATGCTCGTAACCTCTGTGGGCATGAACACTACATGGGGTGAGATGATGAGTTCCATAACCCAGGACTCAGATGAAGAGACCCCTTTACAAGTTCGTCTCAACATGCTAACTTCTTACATAGGGAAGGTTGGTCTGGCCATCGCACTCCTAGTTCTTGTGGTGATGCTGATTCGTTACTTCACTGGACACATAGAAGAGGAGGATGGAATCAGTAAATACAAAGGCCACAACACCAAATTCAATGATCTGATGAATGCATTGGTCAGTATTATCTCTGCTGCAGTCACGATTGTGGTTGTGGCAATACCAGAAGGTTTACCACTTGCTGTCACACTCAGCCTAGCATATTCTATGAAAAAAATGATGGCTGACAATGCAATGGTTCGGAAGCTAGCTGCCTGTGAGACTATGGGTTCCGCAACAACCATCTGCACAGACAAAACTGGCACCCTCACCTTGAACCAAATGAAGGTCAATGAGTTTTGGGTTGGTGAAGGAGCAAAGGACAATCATGCCTCTTTTGTTATAGCCCCAAACCTTGTTGATTTGCTGGGACAAGGAGTTAGTCTAAACACAACTGGTAGTGTTTATAGACCTGCTCCAGGAATGGAACCTGAGGTTTCCGGCAGTCCCACTGAAAAGGCTATTCTCTCTTGGGCTGTTTCAGAGTTGGGTATGGATATGGATGAAGTGAAGCAGTGTTGCACAGTCCTTCATGTAGAAGCCTTTAATTCAGAGAAGAAAAGAAGTGGAGTTTTAATAAAGACAATGACCAAGAGGACAATTGACACACATTGGAAGGGAGCAGCTGAGATGATACTGGCAATGTGTTCAAATTATTATGAAAGAAATGGGACCATAAAAACCATGGATGAAAGCAAAAGGATTAAATTCAAGCAAATTATTGAAGGTATGGCAGCTAAAACTCTCCGATGCATTGCTTTTGCCCATAAATCAATGCCAGAAGTAGAAATTGAAGGTGGATTGGGTTATCACAGACTCCAAGAAGACAGCCTCACTTTGTTGGGCCTAGTGGGCTTAAAGGACCCTTGTCGACCAGAGGTGAAAACAGCTGTAAAAGCTTGCAGAGATGCTGGAGTGAACATCAAGATGGTCACTGGAGACAATATTTTCACTGCAAGAGCTATTGCCATCGAATGTGGGATACTTGAACCTGATGAAGAAGTGAACAATGAAGCAGTTGTAGAAGGTGTAGAGTTCCGGAGTTACTCAGCAGAAGAAAGGATGGAGAAGATTGACAAAATCAAGGTGATGGCAAGGTCCTCCCCCTTAGACAAGCTTCTAATGGTGCAGAGCTTAAAGCAAAAAGGTCATGTTGTTGCAGTGACTGGTGATGGAACAAATGATGCACCAGCTCTCAGAGAAGCAGACATTGGGCTCTCTATGGGGATTCAAGGAACTGAAGTGGCAAAAGAGAGTTCAGACATTGTCATCTTAGATGATAACTTTGCTTCTGTAGCCACAGTCTTGAGGTGGGGAAGGTGTGTTTACAACAACATTCAAAAGTTCATCCAGTTCCAGCTCACTGTAAATATCGCTGCCCTTGTGATTAATTTCATGGCAGCAATTTCTTCTGGTGAAGTCCCATTAACAGCAGTCCAAATGTTGTGGGTGAACCTGATCATGGACACTTTGGGAGCATTGGCACTAGCCACCGAACAACCCACCAAAGAGCTCATGGAAAAGCCACCAGTGGGTCGAACAGAGCCGCTTATTACCAATATCATGTGGAGGAACCTCACTACTCAAGCTCTATATCAGGTGATCATCTTACTGACCCTAGAATTCAAGGGAAAGTCTATCTTTAACATAAATGAGAAAATCAAGGACACCCTAATCTTTAATACCTTTGTATTCTGCCAAGTTTTTAATGAATTCAATGCAAGGAGACTGGAGAAGAAGAATATATTTGAGGAAATACATAGAAGCCGGTTGTTTCTAGGGATTGTTGGGATGACAGTGATTCTTCAAGTGCTGATGGTTGAGTTCCTGAAGAGGTTTGCCAACACTGAGCAGCTAAATGTAGGGCAGTGGCTTGTTTGTATTGGGATTGCAGCTTTATCTTGGCCAATCGCATTCCTTGTCAAGTTCATACCAGTTTCTGATAAACCACTTCTCAGCCTTCTTAGATGGTAATGCTTGGCCATCTTGAAATAAGGACCACAATCAACTTCTAAGTCTTCTTAGAAATTTATTGCCTCAGATTTCATTCATGTCTATATTACTTTTTGCAAAGTCCCTGTTTTGTTTTATATAACTCTTGGGTTTTCCTTCACTCAGTTATGTTCATGTAGGTATTACTGATATAATAAACTACCATTCAGATTTGATTTACCCATGTTTTCTTTGTTTAATGGTTTTTCTTGTGTCCCCCCCCCTTCCTTCCAAGTGTAAATATGGTGTAACTGGTGCACACGTAATTTTGTAATGTTGCAACCAACACCATTAAGAAATCTCATCCAGTATCTACGCCAATTATCTGAAACCTGAATAAATAAACTGGAAGTACACTATTCAGTCTTTCAAGTTACAAAGAATAAAAGCTCAAAAGAAAACCGAAACAATTATCTAGGCTCTGATCATCATAACCCCATAGAATAGGTGATTTAATCAAAAAACATCATAATTAAACTGGAAGTACACTATTCAGTCTTTCAAGTTACAAAGAATAAAAGCTCAAAAGAAAACCAAAACAATTATCTAGGCTCTGATCATCATAACCCCATAGAATAGGTGATTTAATCAAAAAACATCATAATGTGTTTAAATAGTCATTAATCTCATGTATGGAAAAACTGTGAACATTAGATAAAGCTAAGTGTCCCATATAAGTGTTCCCCAAGCTAAGAATAATAACCAAACCACCTTTTGAATTCAAAAACATAAAGTTCACAAGTAATCTTCATACAGTACCGTAAGTGGACAAGGACTTTATGTGACCAAAGAGATGGACACTTTTAACTAAAGGAGAAAGTTTGTCGGTAATTATATGGTATTTAACCACTTATCAAAGGTTCAGATTCTAAAATGGGGCCTATATTGATTTGTAATCTTGCTCACCTAGAGCAACAGAACTTGATAATCTGGCCTGATGACAGCTTGGTTAACCAAATGGATAAACAGGACTACCAGGTTGAGGTAAATTTTGACAATTTTGCATTTTCCTGTCTAGAACAGTTATGAACAAGAAAGTGAGAATTACAATAAAAACTTTATTTTCTCAAAGTGCCTTCTTTCAATTAGTTGGGTATAAGTTGAATAAGTTGAAATACCAAGCAATGCCTTACTTTCATTGAAATATATAATTTTCAACAGGAAACCAGGTGTATTAGATGATTCATCATACATATTGTCACCCACAGTTAGTGGTCTTACTTTTTTTTTTTGCTTCATAGTTAGGTGGTCTTACTTAAGGCTATATTTGGATTGATAGAAAATTAAGAGGAAAACAGAAAGTGGAGGGAAAGAAACCCACTACAGCAATAAAGACGAAGGACACACATATTGATACCACACATCAATCTCAGTTATCAAATTCTTTATCCTATCAAATTAGTTGGATTCTTCAACTATAATCAGTTAAAAAGAAGTAAAAAAAAACGCATACTAACAAGAATATACAGTAAACTATATTTGTTCTAACTTTTTTAACCTTCCCAATTAGTTGGTCTTTGTGGTAAGCTTCTTCAGATGAAATAACACAAAAGTTGTCTTCAATTAAAGACAAGCTGTATAACTAACATAACAAAACTTAAAGCTGACTTTTCTAGATTCCAAGATGATGATAATCATACATGAAACCCTAAAATTTATCATATAGCTAACATCAGGAGCCAGTTGAAACCATCCAAGTTAAATCCACCGGCACAATCAGCAGCAAATTAACCTTGAAAAACATAGATAAGCCTTTGATGGACCCACTAGGTCTCCATGTGATTACCATTTAGGAACACAGGAATTCAGGAATATGATCCAACAACAGTTAAACCCAGGAAAAATTCATGGAATAACTAACAAGCAACAAAACCAAACCAAGATCGCACACAATAGTTAATAACATGAAAGGGAAAATGCAGAGATCACCTGGATGGACCCACCAACGTGGTAGACAGAAAACATCGATCCCTATCTATCGATACTATACGTCTTGTTGGGGGAAACCATGACAATGAAAATTGGAAGCGATTGGTTACCCTTCTTGTGTTAACCTGGTCCCACGCACTTTGTTTCTTGAGGATCCAGAAACGATGGAGGACCAGTACCCTTCATACAATAGCACACTTCCTCTAACTTAGGGTTTCATTTTTTAAAAGATGAAATATCAGTGGAGTTGTACCAACGAAATGTAAAAACAAAAAAAAAATGAAGGAAAAGAATAAAAGAAAGAGAACCTGTGCAGAGTACAAGGACAACCGGAAGAATTAACATTTGTACTTCAGCTTGGAACCGTGGAATTGGGGCCCAGAAGGGGATAGGTCCCGCTGTCCCACTGACCACTGTGGGACAGTGTCTAAATGGGTCCCGCAGACGTGTGGGTGTGGGCCGTGTGGCAACTGGTAAGAACCTTTAAGCCGGGCCCTGGATCATGGAACGGCCGAGTTCGAATCTGCGCCCCACGGCCTGGCGCCCCAAAAACAACGACCCACAAAGTAGAGAGTCGCCGCAGACACGCATCCCCCTCGAACTCGTGCGGAGCATCTACTCCAAAACTCCAAAACTCCAAAATAAAAATGTTTTCCCCCTATCATGTTCCTCTCGACCTGCCCTGAACCCTGCACATCCTCTTCCTCCTCCATCCGAGCTTAACAAGAAATTTGGTGCCGACACCGACGACCGTTCCGGCAGATACATCGGATCCCCGTTCCTTTCATCTCATCTGTTCTCTCACATATTCAAGCAAGTCAGTACATTTTAAAGAAACAGATAGCCCAGAAATCAAAACAATGAGTTATGAAAGCAGAAGTCCGCTATACATCATCTGATTTTATCTTGTAAATATGTCCATTTAAGAGACTTCTGCCTGTACTGATGGTGCACAATCTAGTGCTTCCTGTTGGCGGACAGCTCGAACGTCGGACTAAGTAGGTTGTATAGCTGAGCTGCAAAAGAGAGATATCAGATTGTTTGAGTTGTTTGACTCAGGATGGATACTTCGATGCTTAAGTCAGCAAAAAGTTTTGAGAGAGCCAAAAAGCAAGAGAACTAGAAAGTTATAAATGCTAAATGGTGTAAACCTTTTATGAGAAAGGAGACACCTTTATATAGGCAAGCTACCATGTGGCTCATGAAGCATGTCCCAGATCTTCAGCCCGTCTGGTTAGGAGATGGTTTCATGCCTGGAAGTGGATTCTACGTAAACGAGTAGTGCTTAACTAGTTGTTTTCAAAGTGGGCGGGGTGATAACTAACTCTTTCGGCGTGGCGTCACGATCTCGGGGAAGTCGGAGACGATAGCTTGCTTAAGGAGGAGGTCACCCCAACGCGTTAGGTAGGCCACTAGCTGAACTCAGGTCAAGTCGACAAAAGCAAGTCCCCTCTCATTCCCACTTGACGTCTTGCCAGACCCGTTCGCAGTTCAATCTGCTAAGGTGGTGCTGAAGTCATTAAGTCGGTTCGAGGTGTTTGAGGTGCATCCATGGCTTACTTACATGATGCTGAGATATCGTCTGACTGTTATGAGGTGCCATATCGTCTAACTCCCGAAGGGATGCTGGTTTGATGAAGGGAGTAACTTGGAATTAGTCTTTGGCCATGGTGACTCATTCAGTCGGTTCGCATATTGCCTGGCCTATTCACCCAACTCGACTCAAGGGCAGGATAGTGCATGACAAAATTCAAATTTCAAATTCCAATTTAGACACGTAAATTTTAAAATTCAAATTCGCCCGCAAGGGGTTTGACCTTCTCAACTATCGATCTGATGTTGCACCGCCTCATCCGTCAATTTTTTGCGCCCTCATAGTAACCTATTAAAAGATATTTAAAAGAATGTACTTAAAGAACATTCATTTAGTTACTTTTGTTTTTATTTACTATAGCGGTATAGCTTATTAAAAGATAACAAAATCTTATTAGAATTTATCATTAAATCAATCTAATACAACCTATTAAATGAATCTAATAAAAAAGATATTAAAAGTCATAAATACTTTAGTAATTATAACTAAGGTTAAAAAACTAGATCGGATATGGAACCATTTTAGCCACCGATTCTCAGGTTGAATGATTTGATCGTCTGGTTTGAAAAGATGGTCTGTTTTGATATAAAAAAATAAAAATTAAAATAAAAGGCCAAAAATCATTGTCTAAGTCGATGGTTAGACTGCATGGGTCAATAGGTCACTGATCAAGTCAACGGGTTTTTGACTCAGGAACATTTTTAAAGTAAAATAAAATCAGTCACTTGGACGATTTCCGGGTCAACCGGTCCAGTTTTCAAAACCATGATGAGAACCTTCAATTTGTGACTTTTATCATAGAGTAAAAGACTAAAACCTCTCTTAGGTTTTTAATAAATACAAAAACCTCTCCGTTTTTTTAAAAAAACCTTCATTGTCAAGTGACTTCATGAGACAAAGACCTTTCCTTTATTAGCAATCGACTAAGATATATTTACATGTGGCATTCTATTTATAGATGGAATTCTTAAAACCCAATCTGGTCCAAGAAAAAGAAAAATCCAATATTGCGTCGCTAGAATACAATATTAATTGTGCCAAGTTGGGGTATTTCTTGATGTATGTCAATCATGCCTCCAACTGAAAATCTCATTGACGAACAGAAAAAATCTAATCCAGGCAGCAGAGACAAAACAGAATTACTACGGGAAAAGCCATACGTATCCTGCAGCTTTTGGGATAAGCTGTTGCTGTCTCAATTGATAAATCCTCTTACTGGCTGTATGTAGCCCAGGGTTGTAGCTTAGGGATTGATCCCATTGTATAGTTTAATGTAGGGGTGTCAATGGATCAAGTTTGAGTTGGACCCTATCGAATCAAAATCAATATGAACGAGTTGAAATGTTGAATTGTCCAATAAGATATATTAAATTAGATTGGTCCAGACTTAAATGATTTAAAGTATTTATTGGATTGAATTGGATCGGATCCATCTGTAATAGATGTAATAGGTGTGCGGCAAGCTGCAATCAATTTATTTAATTGACCTTGTTAGAACGAAGTGGAAAATAAAATGAAAATTCTATATATTCTTGCCCCTGATAAAAATATGCAAATAACCACTTCATTCAATCAGTTTCTCTCTTTGAACTGTTCAAAGAATAAAGATACATTGTCGCAGAAAAACCCAGATGCAGTCATTCTCTCCTCTTCTTTCATTCTGCTTAAATGGTAGATCTAGAAACCAAACATCTTGTCTTTTTAAAAGCCTGCTATGAAGTAATTGGCTTTCAAAATAAACAAATATATACGACCATGCCCTTAACATTTTTCACTTGATTTAGGTGGTTATAAGACAATATCCAGATGGCAATATAAACAGTTCTTTTGGCGTGCTTCTACTGAATTTAGTTATAAATTTAATGTTGATGGTGCTTGCTGAGGCAATCTGGGTGAGTGTTCGGGTAGTGGAATTATAGGAGATACTAAAAGTGCTTTCCACTTTGTTTTCTATAATTTCTATGGCATTGGAACGTCTATTATGGCTAAATGCTTAGCTCTTCATGTCGGTTTGTCTCTTTGCCTCAATAATGGTATTTTTTTAAGTAGAGGTTTGAAAGTGATAATGAGGGTGTTTGATTCTGTTTACGTTTATTCAACAAACATTTATTGATGGTGTCACATAGGCACCATCTCAGCATTTTTTCTCTCTTGCTCTTTTATATACATCGAAAATATAAAAAGTTAGCTTTGATTTATGTGTATGTTAACCGTTTGTAGAAATTATTTTTTGAATCTTCCACAAACGATCAGGCGTTTATTCACTGTTACGCTGAAGTGGTGCCTATTTGTCATAAATGATTGTAATTATTGCATTTCTCGATTTTACCAACCAGTAAATAAAATACAAACATTTATTCAATAAACATAAACAGAACCAAACACATACAACAAGAGTTTAATTGATATCATTCTCCAGAGGCTTCCTCCCCATGGAATATCACTTACATTTTAAGAAATATTAAGGAGATGTATAGTTCCATGAGAATTAAGTTTACTCACACCCTCCCGGAGGGGATTTAATGTACTGATTTCTTCGCTAATATGGGCATATCTGAGAAGGAGATTTCAAGTGTTTAATTTAATTCAGGATTTTCCATGAGACCTCAAGAATTTCTTGAAGTAAGAAGATTATATGAAGATCCCCCTTTTGCAAATTAACTAACGGCTTTTGCTTTTGCTGCTGTATTTTTCTATTGTTTTGTCTTAACTTTTGGGCAGGGCTGAGTGGGTAAGGAGGTGTGTTTTCTGATGCTGGCTAATTAATAAAATTTTAAGGTGTTTGCCCCTCCACCTGGACTAAATTAAGTTTAAGGTTAAGATTAATCACATATAAATATATCCTATGGTTTTACTAAACTACTTAAATTAATATATCCTATGGTTTTTAAAACTACTTAAACATGTGATAAAAGACTTAAAAATACTGAATTTTTTAAATGGACTTAAACTTACCTTCAAACCATTAAGTTTAGATGGTGAAAAGAAAAGGCCAATTTCGCTGTACAATAGACAAATAGTGTCTTGTGCAAAAAAGATGAAGGCACTGCCACCTAAACAAATTAACGGATCCTTTTGCATTACAACAAAGTAGGGATAACAATTTTTTCCATTTCTCTTATCCCCATGGGGATCTGTTCCGAATGGGGCAGGGATGGGGATAATTTTCCCCCCACAGGGATGGGGATGGGGATGGGGAAATTTTCTTCCCTGTTAGCGGGGATGGGATAAGGATAGGGAGAGCACTCCCCACCCCGTGGGATCCCCATTAATATATATGTATATATGTATGCATACGTTATATATGTATGTATGTACATATACGTCTATATATTAATATTTTTAAAAATATGGTTAGATATGATTGAATATTTTTCAATAAAATTGTAAATTTTAATTATTTCATTT